CTATGCAGCAAACCCTTCTGGAAGTCATGTCCAGACATATGAATGATAAAGTCATGGTGACTGGAAACAGTCACCCTAGATTTACCAAAGATGTGCTGTGCCTGAAAAACATGACGTCCTTCTACTGAGTAGTGACTGGCTGTGTGGCAAGGGTAGAGCAGGGGCTTTTCTTTACTTTCATATTAGTCAGGCTTTTGACACAATCTCTCATAGTCTTGTAGCCAAATTGGAGAGGTGTGGTTTGGATAGGTGGATTACAAGATTGATGGAAATCTGTCAGGGCTATGGAATTCTAAATGCTGGGATCATCAGTATTAAGACCAAATGGTAGCTGGTCACTCTTGAAGTTTCTCAGGATTGATACTAAGGTGAGTATTCTTAATATCCTCATTAATGATTAATCCACACTTACTGACCTAATCACTGTATCAAATTTGTGGACAATGCCAAGTAGGGGAACGTGATAAATATACTCAGTGGTAGGATATCTGGTTCAGAGGGACCTACCTTGGGAACTTCAATTAAAGCAAAATCTTACATCTGCACACACAATAAACTCACACAACAGCACAGGCAGAGAGCTGACTGAATAGAAATCACATTTGCAGAAAAGGATCTGGGGTAATTTTGATACTTTTTGACAAGTTGAACATGAGTCAGCTGCAGATCTTTTTGCAACAATGAAGACTAACTGCATGCTGTGCTATATTAGAGAGAGTGCACCCATCAGGTCAAGTGAAATTATTATTCCCCTCTATTTGGTTCTGCAGAACAACTGTCCAATTTGGGGGTCAATATAAAGCACTAACATACTGAATAATGCCTAGTGGAAGGCCATCAAGATGATTAAAGCTGTATTTGTTCCGTCTCAAGAAGAGAAGGCCAAAAGGTATGATCACTGTCTTCAGCTACATACTGAAGATCATAGAAAAGACAAAGTTGGACTTTTCTTGAATGTACACAGTGAAAGGATGAGGGAAAGTGGATACATGAGTTATGAAAAAATTCCAATGTAACATTAGGAAAAATTTCACAGTGAAAGTCAACCCTTAAGAAGGGACCAGAAAAGGCAGAATTTCCATCCTTACAGATATTTGAAATGCTACTGGATATGAGTTGGAGCAACAGGATCTAACTTTGCTGGTTGACCCTGCTTTGAGCTGGAGGCTGAAGAAGATAACCTCCAGACCTCCCACCGAGTCTAAATTCCTCTGATTCTACCACTGCAGAGAGCCAGTTTGGGTACTCAAAACATGATGGAACTGTCTCCAGTGCAGCTTAATCTACTGAGAAGGTGTCCAAACAAAGAATTCTTCGCCTCTTGCCAAAGTATTCCTTGGTGCACGTTCGTATTTTGGGTGAAAAAGTACTCTACACATATAAAACAAAAGTACATGCAAATAGTGTGAAAGGTAGTTTAAATGGAATTTAGTTTTTCAGCATAGTTCAAAAGTAAAGTTTTCCGAAGAGAAAGACTAATTGCAAATTGATGTCATTTTAAGGATACTTCCCTAAACAACATCAACTGCAGTGCACAATGTTTATGTTATCAAAAAAAAGCCCAGAGCTAAACTCATAACAGCTTAACTTAAAAGTCTGTCATATAGATTGTCTTTTCCTCTCTTAGCAAGATCACTGTTAAACACTTAGCAAATGTTAATTAAGAATATCAGACACGACTGTTTTCTAAAGGGCACCTGGAATGTCCTAATGCTATTTCACATCATTTCATTTTCATCCAAATGTACTGAGACTACTAATTACGTCATAGTTTTCTTAAGTGCTTCATTTGAAACCAGATCTACAGCACTTAAGAAACCTAAGCTGTACTTGCTCCACACAGACTAAAGCATTCTCAGTTTCTGATTTGCTATTTTCTAAGTCCTGTCAAATGTACTACAAGACTACAGACCTAAGGTGAGCCTTAGGTGAAAATAATACTGACAATGCTATACTTAGAAGGTAAAAAATCTGTAGACTGAACATTAAACACTTGAAAAATATGAAGACAAGTGAGGAAATCTTGTTAACAGTTTCCACTTGTTGTAAATAGATTAATTTCAATGAAAACTGGGTCAAGACTTGTACTAGTAAACCAGTGCAAATGCTTAATCGACTCTGGAACAGTGAATTATTTATTCCAAAAGAGAGTCAACCACCCCAACGATTTACAAGCCCAGAAAGCAAATACGGTTAAAAAAGAATAAGCTACATTTTTGGGAACTGCAACAGAGAATTGTTTAGTACAAAAGGTAGAAGTAGCTCAGTGCTCAAGAAATGGTTTGTTTGTTTGTTTTGTAATAACGGTATATGTTTCTTCGTGCTGGCAAAACTCCCTTCTGGTATTAAGCTTAATGGGTTTTATTTAAACCTACATTTGCTAATTACTACTGAATTGCTAGGACAGAAATTCATTACCTTGTAAACTGATCTATATTTTAAATTAACAGACAAGCACTTCCACAGCCAAGGTGAGCGCATTAAACTTTCTGACCTAAAAATATAAGCCTAACACAGCAGAAAAATGTCACTACACAGTAAACCAATACCAAAAGCTCCTGCAGTATTTAGGATCACATCAACAGATTCTCCTGCCCCATGAATGAGAGGGTGAGTACAGGAAGTACCTGATGCTCCTCTTCTCCTCCACTGAGGATGCCCTGCCCAGACAACTGCAGCAGCAAAGCAGAGCTGCCATGTTTCAGGTCAGTGGTTCATGGAATGAGGGACATTTTTGTGTGAGATTATATGATCCACAAGATTTGTATGAGCTACTCCTAGCTGTGTCTAAGCTCTACACTGAGGGGCAAGTAGTGCCTTTCACATACATCCAGAGCCACTAAAGAAATCAGACTGGCTGGGTTATCACAGGAAGAAGGGTAAAATTAAGCAACCCATGGCAGGTCTAAGAACTCAAATATCTCAATAGTGTCAAAATATTGGGAAATTGCAACAATGCTTTTTTTGGTACCAATGACAGCCAAGATTGAAAAAATGCTGCCTATCACAGCAAAAAGGATTAGGTGAGAACAGGACAACAGCTGAACGATGACAGTGGGTCAAGAATATAAAAAGTTTCCTCATCTGTAATGTTGGTTTCCCTATCACAGCATCTTCATCAACATTTTGCATCATGAAATTTTTCTAAAATAAATTAATCCAATTGAGTTGGATGTTACATACCATAGGGGAACTGAAAAGCTATCAGGAATGCCAGCTAAGAACCAGAGAGGGCTAGTTAAGCCCAGCAGCCAGTGTCAGAAATTAGATCAATTAATAATGATTCTAGTGATTTTTCTTTGCAAAAAGAAGAACCTATTTATTTCTAGTCATAAAACCCAAAGCATTTCCTATTCTGAAAAGTACTAAAATTCGAGCTTTGAAAGTGGTACTGGATGTGCTAATACAGCTGGAGGGAGACAAAAAAAAAAAAAATCAGTGCACTTCCAAAAAACAAGAAGTTTAACTTTCTTTTGCAGTAGTTAGTAAGTATTTGTCCACAGGAAGATTAGAGAAAGTTCAACTATCTTGTGAAGATTTACTATGGAAAATCTGGAAAACTAGGTCTGGCATTTAGGTGTAAATACAGGATTTCAGACCAGATTTAAGTGAAGGTTTTAATGCATTCTTAATCACCAGTTTGCGACCAGTGGTCCTGTAACACCATCAACCTTCTTAAGGTTCAGAACTCATCATAAAAATTTATGAAATTCTTTTCACAAGATCACACCAAGGAGGTTTAAAAACACATTAGGATGCAAGTACAACAACAAGGGCAAACCCACATCACAGAACTATTAAAACCACAGCAAATATGGACAGTTAAACTTATTAACACTTAAAGATTGCAAATAAATGTGCATAAATTCAGAGTACAACACTGCATACAATATAATATATAAAACTGTGCTATATCAGCACTTAGGAGAACGATTACAACAGGGAAGCTGACAACTGCTTTTCTCTAAATTCAAGTAGTCCCTATTTTTCTACATAAACGGGTTATGAAAAATTCAATACATCTCTGAGTGTTGAAGACAAATTAAAATACTGGAAATATTTTAAAAGTTAAAAATCCACCAATTATTCTCTAAATTAAACATTTCATCTATTTATTTCCTTTGTTCAGTTATTTTTGTAGATTATACTTCCTTTTTACTAAGTATTTACAGATATTACAGCCATAGAAATATTTAATTAATCCTATCTTTGTACTTTACAGATTGAAGAAACAATGTTCAAAACTGTGGTCTGGCAAAACTTCATATTTTAATCTCAATATTATATTTGCAGTTACTCTAGCATTATTTATTTTTAGATTTGAATCCATCTGTAATAATTGTCCCTAACTGCAGACTACCACTCAAACTGAAAATTTAACAGCATCTTTATAATTCATAGCACATTTTTTTTGAATGTGTTAAGGTTCAACAGATGTTCCTCTTAACAAAGGAACGGTCTTCCTCAAATTGTCAAAACACAAAAGCCTTCACCAACTCATATAATTGTAACAATATTTACACATCTGGTGGTCAATATCCTTTTTTTTTTAAACTTGAGGTAAGTTTTGAAGAGAAATAAATTCAACAGGCACCTTACCTCAGTCTATAGTGCTGATATCTAGTGGGCTAAGCATAAACATAATACACTGTATTCAAAAGAATATATGTTGGTTTTAAAAGAGGTACAAGTAAAAACTGTCAGGGAACTCAAACTCTACAGCCAGAGTTAAAAAAAACAAACAAACAAACCCAAAACAAACAAAAAACCAAAGCAAACCAAAACCAACCAACCAAACAACAAAAAATAAAACAAAAAACTCCTCTCAAATTTGTTTCCTGAAAGGTAATTCTGAAATAGTTAAGCGCAAGAAGTAACTATCCCCAGGTTTGATGGTAGTCATCAGACATTCTGCATTTAGTAAAGCAATCTAGAAATTTAAGCTTTGTGACATCAAAGTGCCATTTCCTATTTTATGCAAATTAATTTAACTTTCTTACCTTATTTACTTCCATAATTTCCCTTCTCTCTTCACTAGCAAAACGAAGCTGACTTGCAGCACCACGATCATCATGCTTAGAGCCATCTTCTTCAACATACGGAATAAGTTGCTGTGAAAACAAGAAATATTAGCTTTATTAAAAAAAAAAAAGAAAAATTAAAAGAAGAAATTAAAAAAAAAGAAATGAAATGCAGGAGATTCATAAGGTACTACCATTTTCTCCACAGGCTCAAACTGCTCAAACGAAAGTTGACACAAGCTCGTCACCTCAAACCCAAAGGCCTTGGAATGACCTCAGTTTGTTCTCCAGGAAAATGATGTGCTTCAAAAGGACACAATCCCACCTGTTACCATGCTTAGACCCAAGCAATTTCACAACTGCAGGCAAAACCCACACTTTCCATTTCAAGATGTGTATCATGGATAAATCTTGTATTCTTGAACTATGCAGATTGTGATTTTACATTTTACCATTCCGCACTATGAAACACCAGAAACAAGAGCTTGTTTATTATAAGGTATTTTAGCAGAGGGGCAGGTACTGATCTCTTCACTCTCATGAACAGCAACAGGACTTGAGGAAACAGCATGAAGCTGAGTCAGGGGAAGTTTAGGTTGGATGTCAGGAGAATGTTTTTCACCCAGAGGATGGTTGGGCACCAAACAGGCTCTCCAGGGAAGAGGTCACAAGCCTGCCTGAGTTCAAGGAACATTTGGACAATGCTCTCAGGTACATGGTGTGATTCTTGGGGTGTCCTGGGCAGGGCCAGGAGTTGGACTCAATGATCCTGATGGGTCATTGATTCTATGATTCTATATTCTATGATTCTATACTAACCATAATTATAACTGGCTTTACATAGCTACTTAGTTAATACTCCAGCTATGACTTGCTATTTTAGTGAACCTCTGTTTAGCTGTTCTTAAGACCAGGCCTATAGTTACCTAAAGGGAGTTTTTCCCTAAGTATTTCCCACTGTGATCTTCTCCGACACACAGAATCACAGTTTTGTTTAGGCTGGAAAAGACCATATTGTACTATCATTTCTGTACAAAGCCAAAAATCTCTGATGAAGTATCCCTAAATGAATACTACTGTATGCTTCCTTCCTAAAAAGAAAATAATTAAAAAGAATCAGTAAATATAGCAGGTACAAAACAAATACATGCTTCTGTGTCAGAACACTTCCAAGCTACTAACAACTAATAAAAAAATAATAAGCTGTAGCATTTTATACATAGCATACATCCACAGTGTCCACAGTGCAACATTGTTTTTTCTGTCCTGAACCAAGCAAAATTACATCCACATTCCCATACACACTACAGACAAATGAAAGACTAGTATTGATGAAAATTAGCAAGAAGACATTAGTTCAAAAGCCTGGGAGCAAGTTGCTCACCAAGTGCATATTAACTCGTTACTTAGGCTGGAGTGTAATAGTTCAAAGCATTCAGCATCCTCCTTCAGCATTTTGATACAAAACTTACTTTGATTTAGCCCACTGAAAATTTAATTTCCTTCTATGTAAAAATTTCCATAGTCCATTCTTATTAAGCTTATGAAAATGAACAAAAACTACCACACTAAACTTTGTCATGAAAACGTAGTAAAGGTTAACCACTTACTACATTTGCAGACCATAAAAAAGAAGTAGAGTGGCTCCTAAATACTCTTGGAAGAAACTCCTCTCTCTGATGGAAAAATAAAGTAGCACTCAAACTAGAACACTTCCTTTGAAAACCTCCCGTCTTTTAGAAAAGGTATTAGAAAAAAACCAAACCCACTAAGAAAAGCCAAATTACACCTAACACACAAAAGCAGGAAATTTAAGCTAGATCTGCTTCACAATTATTTCATGCCTTGCTACATTGGTTAACAGAAATTTAGTCATACTTATTATATTGGTAGTACATATTAACAAAAAATGTGAAAACATTTATATCAATAATAACAGACTAAGGAATATTAGTAGGTACCGACTTCTCTTGACTGTGTAAAAAAAAAGAGCTTTGTAAATATTCTTCAAAGGTATGGTTAGAATGTCAGCCACAAAATAATATGATTGAGACTATTATTGAAATGCTGGAAGAAGAATTTAAGAAAACTGATCCAAGACGAATGGTGTGCCACTGTCATTCACCCTAACCAGTAAAAACATGAGACAGGCAGGCACTTCCTAACTTCAGAGCAGAAAAGACTACGCAGATTAAAAAGAAAGAATTCCAACTATTGATACAAAATTTTGCTGTGCCTAAGTTATCAGTCAGACATTGCATTAAAAAAGCTTACTCTACTCTATTGCACACAAGTCAACACACCACGGAAAAAGTTTTATTCTTTAAAACGGGAAAGTTATCCTACTCCCTTGCTTGCTGTCAGGTTTTTCTAAAACCCTTGGCAGTGACTGTTGACAGAAGTAGTAGTCTAGACTGGACTGTACAGAATGAATGAATGAACCTAATTTATTTATTCCTATTCATTGAAGAGATTCAAATACAAAATAAAATGCTTATATGGCTAAAATTCAACGGACAATCACAAGTCTGTTCATAAAGTTGCCTCTGAATCCAAAGGTCAGTATTTAAAGAACTTCACAGTTCTAGATAATTAGCACAGTAGTAACTTGAGTCATAACACAAAACAGGGTTTAAGAGTATTACTAAGAATTAGACACAACTTAACTTATGAAGGAGAAAACAAAGTTTTGATTTTACTAGGAATAGCAGTTTTATTAGGAAAAACTTTAGCAAATCCTCCTTCCAGGAAGTCCAATGCTGTAACTGTTTCATCACCACTGCACAATTAGTTTTGGTTCATACTGGCCCAGCAGGTTAGGAGCAGCAGAATGAGGCAACTAAGGAGGCACAGATTCATGGTCAGAGAAAGAGAATAATGTTTATTAGTGAGAGAGCCAGGCTGACAGGTGAGAGCTTGAAGCAGGCTGTTCCCCACTTTTTTTTCCACTTCTTTTAAAAAATCTACCCTGATCCTTTCATTTTCCTAGGGGAAACAAATTGATGAAGGAAATAAGAAGCTTGAGGAAAAAGGCTAAAATTTTAAATCAAGTTTGATTTTACAGAATCCAAGAATGAATTAGGTTGGAAAAGACCTCTGAGATCTTGTCAACTAGACCATGGCACTAAGTGCCACATTCAGTCTTTCCTTAAACACCTCCAGAGACAGTGACTCTAACACCTCCTTGGGCAGCCCATTCCAGTGTTTAATAACCCTAATGTCAACCTAAGCCTCCCCTGGCACAGCTTGAGGCCATCTCCTCTTATCCTGTCACTTGTTGCCTGGGAGAAGAGGCTGACCCCTACTTTGCCACAACCTCCTTTCAGGGAGTTGTAGAGAGTGAGAAGGTCCCTCCTGAGCCTCCCCTTCTCCAAGCTAAACAACTCCAGGTCCCTCAGTCACTCCTTGTCAGACTTGTGCTCCAGACTCTTCACCAGCTTTATTGCCCTTCTCTGGACATGCTCCAGCACCTCCATGTCCTTCCTCAATTGAGGGGCCCAGAACTGGACACAGCACTCAAGGTGTGGACTCACCAGTGCTGAGTACAGAGGGAAAATTTCAAATTGAGATTCAATTTCAAAATTGGATCCCTCCCAGTTGGCAAGAATTGAGGATGATAATCTGAAAGTTTCGCAGTTTTTCAACCAGCTTTAACTAATAAACAGAATTCAGTCCACTTAATATCCAGTCTCATTAAAACTTGTTATGAGTCTCCTGCAACTGAAGAGAATGGACGATATGCTATGCAGAGAGTGGTTATTCCGAGCTGTAATGTATATATGCATAAAGATACTTACTTCTATGGGAACAGGATCGAGCCCAGCACAGTTTTCATTGCACTTGTCATAGACTAATCTCAGTTTTCTGAAGAGTATTGATAACTGACGGAGATGTTCCTGCAGCTTTCCCAATCTGTCTTGATATGTTGCAGTATGATAAGTAACACCATTTGGTAACTTAAGGGAACCAAAACATTAAAAATATTAAAGCTTCTGTCCCACAAAATAACCAGACCAAAAGAAATCAGGTGGGGTTTTGTACATTTTAAAATCAGACAATCACATTATTCCCACAGAAATCACTGATTTTTTAATTTTCTTTACCAGTAAAATTCTGGATTTTATGTGCTCAATCACTGTTGTCAAACAACTTCATGTATTCTATACTTTGGTCATTGCCAATCCCTCTAAGTCTCTTCAGTGAGTGTCTTCACAATGGTTAAGTATGACATTGTTATGATCCAAGTATTACACTTTGAGAGTTTGTGTCTCAACCCCAGGACACAAAATTCAATAACACCAGAGTCATGAAAACAGAAAGAATGGGGGTTATTATTTATCTTCTACTTTCCACAGAGAGAAAACACAACAAATGTTTGTATGTTTTCTCAGTAAGTAGCCATAAATAAGGACTATGTCCATTTTTATAAGAAAAAAAAGAAGTTTTAGGTGGGAAATATTACCAAAAAAGATAAATGAAAATTCCTCTAAAATTACTCCCTGTATGTTAACATAAATAGAGAAACATAAGTGGCATATAAACAGACTTTGCTATTCATAAAGGAAAACACAGTTACAAAGTGTATTTAGAGTTTATCTATTGTGGGGGCAACAGCAATTCAGCATCTCTGAATATTCTACATGTTCACTTTATCTACAGGAGTAAACAAATACATTAAGAGTAGTATTCACTTCTCCAATCAATCCTCCCTTTTAAAACAGTTTGATGGAGTTATCTAAACGTCCTAAGCCGGCACCTCTGTCTATATATACGGGCTGTCAGTGATAACAACACAGGAAGCAAGGGCCGTGCAAATAAAAAGCTATTTTCACCTGCATGTTCCTCAGTAACTGGAAGATCTCCATGGTTCGGAACACAATGTCCTGCACGGTCTCCTGGCCGATGCGGCAGAGGGAAGCCGTGTTCACCTCCCTGGCCGCCTGAGACTGAGTCCCCGAGAAAGCGCCCGGCGGCATCCCCGCCCCAGCCAGAGGGGGGGTCGACATCTCCCGGCCTTAACCAGTCCCGCTAGGCCGAGCAGAAAGAGGAGGTTATGATGGAACGATCAAGTACTTGAGTCTATCCTAATAAACTTCTGAAGGACAGCTATCCCATTCCTTTTCCCCGCACGCGGCCCTATCCCAGACAGAACCGTCCAACTGACGAAGCCGGCTCAGCGCTGCACCCCCGGGGTCGGACCAACCCCTCGGCTGGGACACCGCTCCCTCACAGCCGCAGCGCTGCCGGGCGGTGGGACCGGGGATGCTCCTCACGCACCTCCGTCCCCTCAGCGCGGTCACTGCCCCGACCCTTCGCAAGCGGACACCCCCGGGCCGCCGCACCGCTCCCCTGCGGAGCCAAAGGCGGAACATTCCCGGCGCCCCGTGCGTCACAGCCGCGGGCGGGAGCGGCGGGCGGGCCGGCAGCCTGTCACGGCTGCTCGGTGCGGTCCCTGTGCCCGCCGGTCTCTTCAGTCGGGATCTGGGTCGTTTTCCTGGCTTCCTGAATCCAGTGAGGACTTGCGGGCTGGTCAGCATGTAGAGGTGTCGGCCCCGAGCCCTGCGCGCGATCTCTCGAGATTAAAAACTTTGGTCAGAATCCCCCAGCGTGTTCACACAAGTCCCACCGCCCCTGTGCTACATCATAGAATCATACAACAGTTTGGCTTGGAGGTGACCTTAAAGATCATCTAGTTTCAAATGCCCATGCCCTGGGCAGGGACACCTCCCACTAGACTGGGTTGCTCAGAGCCCCCGCCTGACCTGGCCTAGAATACTTCCAGGGTTGGGGCATCAACAGGTTCTCTGAGCAACCTGTTCCAGTGCCTCACCACCCTCACAGCAAAGAGTTTCTTCCTAACATCTAATCCAAACCTACTGTCTTTCAGTTTGAAGCCATTCCCCTTTGTCCTATCACTACAGTTCCTGATGAAGAGTCCCTGTACATCTTCCTTGGAGGTGCCCTGCAGATACTGGAAGATTGCTATGAAGTCTCCACACAACCTTCTCCAGGCTGAACAGCCCCAGCTTTCTCAGCCTCTCTTCGTAGGGGAGGTGATCTGGTTCCAATCACGCTGATAAATGGCTGAAAATCTGTTTTGCAAGGTAGGAGTGTATATGTCGGTATACACATGCACACCTGTATTAATTTTACAGCTTTATAGGTGTACTGCTACTCCTTCTTGCTTAGAAATATTACTGCTAATATTGAAAAGCCTTAACACATGGCCTTCCTGTGTCACAGTATTTGTGTGGGTGTAAAATGTCTCTGAGTGCTTGTACCACACTAATACAGTTGAGTTGAGGTGGTTTCAAAATACAGACAAAGCTTCCTGTGTGAGGGGAAAAGGAACACCCTCAAAAACAAACAGGAGACTGATAGATACAAACTGTCTATGCAGTAACTAATGCTTACTGTCTGCCTAATGAAAAATTTCTTCATATGCAAAAATCAGTAAGTACCAAAGTTTCTCTTTTTTTTATTTCCAGGTGATGTCATACCTAGAACTCTGTATTTGAGTGAATTTGACAACTAGTCAAAATCATGACAAAATATGAATTCTTACTAAGCCCTGTCAAGATAGTTGTGATCTATTAAAACTGATGTTACAGATTATCTTTTTTGTGAAATGCATTGCATTTGTAATGCTGTAAAAATAAATCAGAAATTTGACGCGTGTGGGGAGGCAAGGGGTGACAAGCACAAGAACTGGGTGAGGAGGAAAGCTGAGCTGTTTAAGGATTTTCCTTTGCTCAAGAGACCTTCCGCAGCTGGAAGGTTTAAGTCTAGAAGAAATAATGTGGGAAGCAGCAACATTCTGTTTTTCCCTCCAGCTGTTTTTGCCAAAAAAGATGTAGTTTCTATCAAGAGAAATAATTACAGGTTATGTAAAACTTCAAAGCATTCTTTCCCATTGACTGAGGGGAGGGGAAATAAGAAGAGAAAGAGAAAACTGTAAAAAGCAGCCCAGAGGGCATTCTGCATGTGTTGGGCCTTTGACACATAAGTCAGGAGCCTTATGTGTGTGTGTGTTCTCTCCCACCTGGCTGTGAGTTCTCACAGTCTGTTCTAGCATTTCTGAATTTGGAAATTAACTGTCTTCAATGCTGGAGCTAATGGCTTAGTTCTCTGGTTACCTGCGTGCATATCAAATCATACATGTGATATACAATCTTTGTTAAAGAAAGAAAAAAGCAGTCAAGGAACAGTCAGGAACAGAACCATACAAACTTGCTATCAGAGGCATTTTGCTGCAGAAAACATTTTTTACCTCAGAAACTGACTAATGAGGGTAAACACCACCCCCTTTCCTAAACTGAAGATTTTTACTGCCTGGCTAAGTTCTCTCTAGCACTCTGCCCTAGCCAAGATGCAATGTAAATAATTATATTTTAACAAGGATCTTAGCATAAAGGATACAAAAGTGATTTCTTAAACAGATAGGAAAAAATGGTTTATTAAAATAAGAGAGGGATATTTTCAGACAGCAAAAGAACATCCCATGGTGTCTGGCTAGACAGTGTTTGGGAAGAGCAGCCCCTGGAGAATTTCAAAGGGCTTGTTTGAAGGCTTGCATCTCAGTTCACTGTACATTGAGAAAAAGATGCAAAAACTATTCAAGGGTTGAGCACAAAGGATGACGTTTTCCTCTTCCGATTGCATGGCCAAGAGCTCTATTCACACTGCTTAACTTGCTGTCCCAGATCCGATGGCATGAGAGTAATGAACAACTCAGACCACCTACTATTCAGGCATGCCAGACACAGACTCCATATGCAGTTGTATCCTGAAGTATAGGGCTGTCACGTACAGTAGGCAGTTGAAACATGGAGCCAAGTCTGCATGTGGAGAGTGCTGAAGAACGTTGCTAGGAGGCCTAACGTTCTTCACTGCCAGTCTGCAGAGCCATCTAAATCTGGTGTTTCACTCCCAGACAAAGGAATCTCTTCCTTTTAGGTAAGAATATTTTCTTGGTTGAATGAGAAAAAGATTAATATGTATTTTTCTTTTTAAAAGCAATCTGTTAAGCAACCACAGTCTGACTTCAGTTTGGGCCAAGTGCTTTCATCTGGAAGGTGTCCAAATCAGAGATCATCTTTCACATCCATTTCAATATCTGTGGCATCGGTTCAACCAGTGTCTTAGCATTCTGCAACTTTTGTTGTTGGGTTGTAAAGAACCTACCAAAACCTAACAAAGAGCCTATGTCTGTGTGTAATATTCTAGTCCAATCAGCTTTAACCCAAGTTTGAAATTAGGACTCATTGTTTTCTCAATAATAATGTCTTATGATTTTTTTCTATTTTAAGAGGTTCTCACTCATCTACCCTGAGCAACTCCAAAGGTGGTATAGTTGTGTTCTATCAGGAGAATAAAAATCCTCAAAAGTGAGTGAAGAGGATAATTGTTGCTTTTTTTCAAATAATTTTCTCTAAATCAGTTGATGTACTTGCAAGGCAATATGAATCATTCTATTTAAAAATAAACAGAACTGGTGAAATCCCTGGATCATCCTCTCTTTTCCTCGAATAAAAGAGTGTACTCTCTCACAAGTTTCCTCACACTATTCCTTAGCAGCAGTGGTTTGATACTGCTCTGAGGGTGACAGATGGGCTTGGGGGAAATGTGTTAGCCAGGAAAGGACTTTCATTCTCCATCCTGTCCTATTTAGTGTTTATGTGTTCTTTCAAGGAGAAATAATGGGACTTAGTGGAACCTTTGCAAACAATAAACAGACAAGGCACAATTTTACTGATACCAAGTTGTGACAGATAAAGGCATAGCATGTAACTTTTTTAGTATGTGGCCAACACAGACAGTCAAGGTAGGTGGAGTTTAATTCATCAGAGATTATGTTTATAGGCCAGAGGAAAGAGTTAATGGCTGTGATTACATGAGGAGGATTGAGGCTTTGGGGTTTTTTTGTGTGTGTGTGTGACATGGGTGTTTTTCCAATGGTGTTTTCCTCATTCAGGCAGGTATTTTCATGAACTATGAAAGCATCCATTTAGAGGGAGGCAGGATCATCTATGGTAGTGCTAGATAAGATGGGATAAATTACATAGGATCAGAACCCAAAGCATCTGAGCAGAGGGCAGTACTCCATGCCTTTGCTCAGTAGGGGATGAACACAGCTGTTTTCTGGACCAAAGGGAGTCTGGGGTTGAGCAATGAAGACCTCTCTGCCTTTATATGATTCTGTTACACAGCTCTTGGTGCTGCAGGTGGTAGAAGGACAAGAAGAGCGAGATGGAAGGGGTTCAGCTTCCTTCCTTGCCTCGTCTCCTTCATGATCTGTATATCCATAAGCAGACTTGTCTATATGTTAAATGTGTTAATGGCACCTTCTGTGGGGGTGCAGAGAAGCAGAGTGTCATGCCTACTGGGTTTCATACAGGTGGTAACCAACTTCAGTGGTTTGCTACAGCCCAGCCTCCGAATGTTCACAGAGTGGTCAGAAAAAATGACCTGTAAATCCCTAATTTCAGAATGGCCTTATGTAGTGGAATGCCCACCAAGCTGCCCCACCATCACACTCCCTCACTCCTCTCCTCCCTTGCTCCCCCTCCTCAGCAGCACCAGGGGGGGTGGAATAAGATGAAAAACTTTATAGGTTGAGATAAAATCAGTTTAATAAAAGAAAGTAAAGGCTGAATGTGGAAGCATAGTCCTGCCATAGACTGATCCAAATGGCACTGCAACAGGTGTTATTTTACAGCTTGGACACTGTGGAGACTTGCATTGCCCCCATAAGTCAGGGTCAGATCCATCAGAGCAGAGGGCAATACTCCATTTCCCGTAATATACATACATCCATTTCCCATAATATAAAAACAAGCATTAACAAAGGATGGGGGAGCCAGATGAAGTGTGATAGTTCAGCTTACATGTGTCGTGGTTTGAATTTTGTGTTCCCCCAGAGGCTAAGAAAAGTGGTAGACCCCAAGGGGTGGAAACCCCTTCAAGTTTTGAAGGTCTACCCAATGGGCACTCCTGCAAAAATGTCAACATCCCACAAGCTCACCGGAAGAGATGAGTTGTAGTTTGGGTTGTTGAGGAGAGGTGGCCATGTTGTGAGCCACGAGGAAGGGGCTCTGAGCCCCACAGGGGGGCTTTGGCCCCCAGCCCCCAGGGGGGGACCTGCAGGGACCTGGAACAGCATAAAGCTGGGCTAGGTGCCTGTAGTTACGCCGGGAGATGTTTTTCTCCATGGACACAGAGCAGCAGCCGGCACTGACCAGAGAAACGGTGGCAGAGAGCCAGGATAGATAACACCTGAACTGAAGGAGCAGCAGAAACAACATGCAGCACCGGAGAGAAGACTCCTGGAAAGGGAGGAGAAAGAGAGCCAGCAGCCTGAGAGACAGAGTTCTGGGGGTAAGACTGTACCAGCCCCCCAGAACTCCTTTGAGACCTCCTGGAAGGAGGAAGATGATGGACTCTTACTTGAAAGAACCTTGAAGTGCGACATGCACTGCAGAAAGGAGCTAGAGAACTCCGAGAGGAATGCAGAGGGGGTGACCTTGGCTCCCCCCCTTGCACTGCTGCCACGGTGGCAGCCTGAGGCAGGGCACAGAGGCCCTGCAAAGGAGCGAGTCTGTCCTGGAGATACCAGAACCGTCACGAAGACCCCCCTGTGTCTTCGTGATATGACGTGGTGAAACGACCTTGTCTGGGGTTACGAAGCCCACGGAAGACCCCTTTGTCTGCGTCAAGGGGGCCAAGGGAGCTAGAATACCTCCCTCGTGAGTGCTGGCAGAAAGCCAGCTATCAGCTGCTGCATGTGGAGAAGACAGACAGAACCTGCTGCCTCAGAAGATGCTGCTGCTTAAGGACTGGAAGGGATCTGTCCTTCTTTCCCTCCTGGACTTTTATTTGGAGGGGAGAAGAGATCTGATCATTGTAAATACATATGTCATGGTAGAGATAGTTGTGATCATGTGTATAATGTGATATGGTATTTATTTGTACAGTCATTGTAATATATTCCCTTTCCCCCACTTTGAGTCTGGTGTGTTTTGTCTGGAAAAACCCATCTCACATTAGGTTGAGATGTGGGAGGGGGAATAGAGCTGGGGATTGGATTTTGGGGCTATCTCAAACCATGACAGGCATGATGTAGCTTTTTGGTTCTAACTTTGCAGTGGATCCTACACACCCATTTCTTGATATTGACAGATGTGTTGTATTATCAATTCTCTGCTTCTAAAAAGTTTACTTCTTGACCTTCAGCCCAGAAATGTTGCCCTTGGCCCCTTTGTTCCTTAAAACACCAAAGACCTAATTTCGTACTCAGTTCTTTCTGGCATGAAGATTGTTATCCTTCCCTGCATTTTACATGATGGGCTGTTATGCCCAGCAGCTGGTACTCTCCCTGTAACTGTGACAGAAGAAAAAGGAGTAACAGGAAGTTCCCAGACTTCTTCCTGGGTATCCTAGTGCAGAAATCTCATCCTTACAATCCTTCTGCTTTTGCAGTCGTTCAGTTGCTTGTCTCCAAAGAGACATCTGGATGTCCCAATGTAATCTAGACACTGTGGCTTCAGACCCAAGCCTAGAAGCAGATGTATCATGTCTCCTGTTGGTCTCACTACCCAACACCTCCCCTGCAGCCTCCCACTGTGTTGGTGCTCCAAACACTGACACTGAAAATTGTTCACACCGAACAGTACCAAGTTTCTCTTTTTGCCCCAAAATAGCTGTGGGCAGTCTGTGACTTCTTGTACTGGACTTTCGGATATTTTCCCTGGTCCTATTTTTCCTGAGCAAATGGTGTCTTGTGGGACTAGCTGTTTGGAAGAAGAGGCATTCTAAATTGCAGTTTATATGAACTCTGTGTCTTCATCAGCCAAATGTGCATTAATGATGCCTGTAGATAAATTTTCAGCATGCTTGTTTGATGGCTTCTCTTGGGGCTTGCACAAAAATGGCTTGGAAACGAAACATTTGCAAAGAAGTGGATGTTGGCAAAAGAAAGCATTACAATGAGATGTAAAATATGTGCACTGTAATTTATACAGGCAACTAGCTTCTGGGAAACTTGACCTCTGGCCAGTGGAGGACAGAAACATATCTAAAGAGACCACTGAAGCAGTGACTGGTACACAGTGGGACAGAGATGGAGGGACTAATTATATTTTCGCAGCTGTTACACCAATGCTGAAAGTATGTTGGTGACAAATGACTTTGTGGTGGACTTCACAGTAGTTAATACTGGAGAAAAGCTAGTCTGCCCTGTGGTTTGACTGCTTATGTGCTATTAACATTACAAGCAGGAGTGCAAGGGTGGTTTTTCTCTTCAGGGGTCATTGCCAGTGTGCAGTTTCCCACTGTTGATCCACAGTTGGAGGCATAGTTCTCATTAAAGTGTTGACAGATGATACTCCTGTGACTCATTCCGTAGTAGGACAGAGAGAGAGGTCCTGTGCTCTTTTCCTTCCCAAAATATGTCCTAGTTGTGTGAGGGCATCCCTGCTCTGCTCTGTAGTACATGGCTTATTTTCCTAGACCCTGAAAAGTGCAGCAGCCTGGGGTTTCTCTCTTCATCTGCCTCTACTGATGTTTTATTTCTCTCTCTAACTGTAAATCTCTAGTAGTAGGCTGTAGCGGGTTGACCCTGGCTGGACGCCAGGTACCCACTAAGGCCACTCTCTCACTCTCCTCTGCAAGTGGAAAGAGGAGAGAAAATATAAGGAAGGGTTCATGAGTTGAGATAAGGACTGGGAGAGATCACTTACTGATCACCATCACAGGCTAAACAGACTCAAAGTAGGGATATGGATTAAACTTATTACTAACAGAATCAGAGCAGGAGAATGAGAAGTAAAAATAAATCTTAAAAACCCTTTCCCCTCCCTCCTTCTAAGTTCTACCTTCTCCCCTCCAGTGGCACAGGGAGACCAGGGAACGGGGGTTGTTTCAGCTGCTGCTCAGGGAGAGGAGTCCTTTCCCTGCATCCTGTGGGTTCCCTCCCATGGGAGACAGTCCTTCATAAACTTCTCCAACGTGAGTCCATCCCATGGGCAACAGTTCTGCACGAACTGCTGCAGCGTGGGTCATTTTTCCACAGCGTGCAGTCCTTCAGGCACAGGCTGCTCCAGCCTGGGTCCCCCACAGGTCCACAAGTCCTACCAGGAAAACCTGCTGCAGCATGGGCTTCTCTCCCCATGGGTCAGTAGGTCCCTGCCAGGATCCTGCTCCAGTATGGGCCTGCCACAGGGTCACAGCCTCCTTTGGGCATCTACCTGCTCTGGCACGGGCTCCTCCATCGGCTGCAGGTGGGTCTCTGCACTCCCACAGTCCTGTATGAGCTGCAGGGGCACAGCTGCCTCACCGTGGTCTGCATCACAGGATGGAGGGGAACCTCAGCTCTGGCACCTGGAGCACTTCCTCCCCCTCCTTCTCCCCTGACCTTGGTGTCTGCAAAGTTGTTCACATGTTCTCAGTCTGCTCTTCTCTGACTGCAATATTCACCTGTCTCGCAACTTTTTTTTTC